CACATGAAGAACCAAAGGCAATAATGGCATTTTTATGCTCTTACACCTTAGTAGAAAATCCTTTCTATTGTAATCTATTACCGTCTGTAATCTTTTCCTGCATTAACAATTCCCACTTTTCTCCACCCATGAAGTACATGCCTTTCAGATAGTTTTTCTTTATATATAGTTTTACTAATTCTCAATTTTTTTTCTACTTATGAGAAGAAAGACTTAAAGCAAGGACATTCAAACCCTCCCTTCACACTTAAAATGCTTACTAGAGATCAACATAAAAATGAGAGAAGCTGCCTTTACGTCAGGGCATTGAGTGCACTAATAAATATAGTAATATATATAATAGTCGTGACCAGTCCCAACTACAGTCTCCACCTACACGCAGGCCCAGCAGCTCTAAACTCACCCCTGGGCCATTAGTCTCTACCTGAGCTGGTCTTCAGCCATGCCCATGTCCATGTTCCTGCTCAACCTTGAGAAGAAAGCTACAAGATTACACTGGAGTTACTATTTGAAACCTGGAATTATCAGCAGATAAGAACTGCTAGGCATACTAGTGACAATATGCTTGCATGTCAATATATGAAAATTTAAAAGTGATAAGTTTATAACATTAAAAAAAAAGTGCGCCACATTTAACATGGAGCAACTTTTTATTTCAGTTTTCATTTAGGTCAAGCTTTAAAAATGCTTTTGTTTAGGTTCTTCGGCCTGAGAATAGAAGTTTAGCAGCTTGTTAAGACCTGGAATTAAAATTCTATCAGTAAATCAAGGAAGTAATGTTCAGGGTATCTTCAGAAATAAGTTCACTATCTTATAAATTCACTACCTTGTAAGTTCACTACTGCAGCTAAGTAAGGATGATAAAGATTATCTTATGAAATAACTAGACTGAAACTGAGAAGCAAGTCGAGTCACACAAATAATAACTCAAAGTGCAACAAACTCTGATTTGTGATCCTACTTAACATATGACTTATTCTGAGGTTCTGAGAGTTTTGAACATGCAGTTAGGACTCAAATCTTCACCTAAGGTTTGGATAGTTATGAAATTCACCCTCTAAAACCATATTTAAAGATGTTTCTTGTAAGGAGGCAAATTTATTTTTCTTTCTCCTTCCCTCAGATTGATTTTTAGGCATAGAGATGAATCATTACATTCCTGGAAACAAGACCTCTGTACTACACACAAACCAGCCTGACCTGCTGGAAGCTGTACCTAGGGCAAGGACAGGAGGGTGGCTGGGAACAGCCATTGTATATTTATGATGGGAAAATCATGCCTGACTAACCCAATCTCCTTCCTCAAGGAGATGACCAGCCTAGGCAAGTGCAGCAAATGTTGTTTTCCTTAACTTTAGCAAGGCCTTTGACATGGTTTCTGTGGTATTCGCAGTATTATCATTAAAATGCTGAGACATGCTTTGGTTAAATGGATTATAAAGCAAGTGGAAAATTGCCTGCTCAAAAACGAGGCTCAAAAGGTTGTGATCAACAGAATGAAGCCCTGCTGGAGCCTGGTTACTAGTGGTGCTCCTCAGGAGTTGGGATGCAGTGGCTGATAACTATTTAAAGCATCTGGGTGTAAATGATGGGACAGAGGGCTGCACTGGAAGTCTGAGGAGGAGCCAAAAAATCTGGGTGCAGGTGATTCGTAAGGCCATTGTTTAAAGGAAACTCAACAGACTGGAAAAATGGTCTGACTTCTGACAAAGCTCAACAAAGGCAAACGCAAAGTATTACAGATGGTGACAGAGTAATGCCATGTAACAGCACAGGCAGGGCCAAATGCAAGGCAGCAGGCCTGCAGAAGAAGACCTGGGGTTCTGGTGGATGGCAGATGGACCACGAGTCAGCAGTATGCCTTGCTGCAAAGCAGCCTCGTATTGCTGTTTGATTTACAGCACCAAAAGGTAAAGGGAAGTGATTCTTCCCTCCTGTTCCGGCGCTTGTGTGACCACATCTGGATACAGTTGGGATCTTCACCACAGGAAGGAGGCTGGCACACTGGAGCAAGTTCAGTCAAGGTCCACCAAGATATTCAGACCACAATATATTCAGAAGTCCTGGGGCTCTTCAGTCTTAAGAGTGTGGGAGGGGGGAAAATCGCATCACTGTTATAAATTACCTCATAGAAATGTCTAGAAATGAAGGAACCAAACTCTTTGTGAAGACGCATACTGACAGCACGAGATACAACGGATACAAGTTGCAACAGATTAAATTTAAACTAGATATTACGAGACAATTTCACAATGGGTAGTCAAACACTGGACCAGGTTGCCCAGAGAGCCTGTGGGATCTCCACTGTTGAAGATGCTCAGAATTCAACTGGACAGCATCCTGAGCAACCTGACATAAGTTGGGCTTGCTTTGAGCAGGGGTCTAAACCAGAAAGTTTTCAGAGTGGCTTCCAACTAAAATTAGCCCATAGCTCTAAATGTATGCAACAGACTTAAGAGGAATGTTGAGTGACCATCCCTGGAGGTATTTAAAAAGATGTGGAGATGTGGCATGCTTAGGGACATGGTTTGGTGGTGGGCTTAGCAGTGGGAGGTTAATGGTTGGACAATGTGATCTTAAGGGTCTTTTCCAAAGTAAATGATTCTATGGTTTTAACTATGTAATGTGTCAAAACACCAAAGTTTAACTTTGCTTGAATGAATGAACCAATATATGCTAGATGCCACCCAGCTGAAAAACATCTTGGCAGAAGAGGCCCTGCATGCGCTTGCGACTGCCAAACTGAGCATGAACCTGCAGTGTGCCCCTGCTGCAAAGGCTGATGGTACCCTGGGCTGCATTAGGCAAAGCTTTGCCAGAAGGATGAGGAAGGTGATCCTTCCTCTCTGCTTAGCACTGGTGAGGCCACACCTGGGGTCCCATGTCCAGTTCTGGGCTCCCCAGTTCACGAGAGACAAGGACAGACTGGAGAGAGTTCAGTGAAGGGCCACCAAGATAAGTAAGGGATGGAGCATCTCTCCTGTGAGGAAAAGCTGAGAGAGATGGGACCGTTCCACCTGGAAAACAGAAGGTTCAGGGGATTTTATCAAAATATATAAATACCTGTAAGGAAGATGGTCAGTAGAGGTCAGAGCCAGGCTCTTTTCAGTGGTGCTCAGTGACAGAGCAAAGGCAATGGGCACAGATGGAAACACAGGAGGTCCCCTCTGAACACCAGTAAACACTTTTTTACTGTGAGGATGACCAAGAACTGGCACAGGTTGCCCGGAGAGTTTATGGAGTTTCCATCTTTGGGAACAGTTAAAAGCCATCTGAACGCGGTCCTGGGCAACCACCTCTAGGTGTCCCTGCTTGAGCAGGAGGGCTGGACAAGATGATCTCCAGAGGGAGGTCAATCACTCTGTGTGATCCTGTGTGTAAATCATGATTTTTTTAATGGATCCAAAAGACCTGCTAAGGAGTCCTTATAGAAAAACAAACAAACAAAAAATCCCAACATAACAACCTTCTGTGAGAAATAAACACACTGTAAAAAGAAACAAGATTCTCTGTACTGGAAATGGAACATATTGCCAAAGAAATGGAAAAGTATTGGAGATGGAAAGAATGCAACTTGGGTGAGGATGGTTCCATTATATGCAAAATATCAAACAATTCTGGGAACACAGACAATTCAACATTCGCTTCAAAGGAAAAGTAGAAGCTTTTCCAAAATACATCGCTGGACTGTAAAATGGGCTGCAAAGCTCTCACTAGACTTGTTTTGTATAATCTTGACAAATTACCACATGCAAGTCCTTACCTGTGTTACGAGCTATGTGTCCAAAATAAGCCTGCATGTTTGTACACTAGTAACCACGCACATTACAGGTCCCTGGAACAAAGTAGCTTTCCGTATAATTGCACAGAACTATTAAAAAACACGAGGTATACGCAGCAAAAATCAAGAACCGAGATGGCAAAATACTTTTACACCCTAAGGTACAAGAAACCTGCTGGTGTCTAGGGATCTCTAGGAGTGCTGCGAGGACCTTTCCTGCTCCCTCTATTTCAAATCCAGTTGTGTGATGAACATTATCGACGCACTCCACTGTACAACAAGGAACTATATAATTAGGTAACAGGAATAGAATTATATACTAACCAGGGCTCTAAAAAATAGCTTGTCTGAGAGACATGCTAGTTGCTGAAATTTTACAGGTAACACAGGGCTGTTTCACTTATCTGGAGTATTTCCCTGATATGACAGATTCCTCTAAGTATCTGCCTGATAATGTGCTTAAAATCTCTCAGCATCCCTGCCTTCAGCATATATTTAAATTTGTATTTACATTATCTTTATAGCATTAAAAATACACATAAACTCTCCTTCCTGCAGAATCTTTCCACAAAGTAATTTTAAGATTCTTGAGGTTATTCATACCATTTCCATTTCACCAGATGTACCAAAGCTGAGGAAGTTACATTTTATAGGACAGAAGGACATGTTCTCCTTTTCTATTCTCCTTCAGTTTGCTGACATTCTCTTACCTACTATCTGAACCAGTATGAGAGAACTAGGAAGACTTTCAACTTTTTAAATTCTATTATTTAAATTCTTCATAAATATTCCTTCCTAAAAAGTGCAAAAGAGCTGTCATCATCTACTACTGAAAATAAATCTTTCCCATAGTATTTATGATTACTGACATTAATCTATTTAATAAATAATGATGTTAATAAGGGAACTTTTTTGTCTCAATTATACCATCAAAACATTTATTATTCCACATACAGGACTATCTTCTCACATGGCTATGTCATCCATAACTTTTCTCTAAATATTTTCAGAATATATATAATTTCAATTGATTTCGCAACACAGAGTATGAATATTGGATAAATTATAAGTATCATATGTTGAAATTTTACATTTTCCAAAAATATTTACCCTGTACAAAAGAAAAGGAGGTCTTTTCAGACATAACCATGGAAGTGAGAAACAGGAAAGCAAAGGTGTATATAATTTTATACTTAGAGACTTCAGTCTTTTTTCTTACCTGAGTACCCAAACAAGCAACCATCATGTGAGTGAGAAGTTTAGCTGCAAACATTGCGCACCTGGTGCAGAAAAGGTGGGAGATAATAGCCAAGGGGGGGGGGGAATTTAAAGCTTAGGTTGATAAACTATGTTAGATCAGAACAGTGCTGGATCTCTTGAAAGGTGCAAATCATTAAAAGAAAAGCAGAAAAAACCCAAGTTTTTCAAGAGAATATGTTCACTTTGGTTCACATTGGGATCACTCATGAATTTATTACTGAAGTATTGACATCTATTTAACTTTTCCACAGACTTGGGAGCTAAAATAAATGCATAATGTAAAGAAGTCATTTTTGAAAATTATTATTTTTTAAAATTTCTTCATGATATGGATGATTGTCAGAATAGTTAAAGCAAAGGCAGCTCTTCAGTGTTCATATTGCTCCACACAAAAATCCTTTTAGAAACACATAAATTAAAATAAATTCCCTCCAGCTAAGTAGGACTGGTTTAGGAGACAGCTATGGCCTTCTTAAACGCCAGTCTCCTGTTTCATCTGTGTTCAGCATAGAAAATCTATTGTAGCATTACTCAGAAAGAATAACGCCACCTTTCATTGCACTAATTCACTGTGAACATGAACAGAACAGAAATGGGAAGGGGCCCTTACCTACCAGTAAGTAGCTCTCGGAGTAACAACCCTGGGAAAGCTGAGCCACTAAGAAAAACACTGCTGAAACTCACGTAGAGTTAATTAATTGGCTGTGCGCTCCCAACCCCAGGAAGGGCAGGAACTGGAATACTTAAGGCAAATCTTTTATCCTTTCTTGAGACAGCCTTGTTGCTCAAGTACAAGCATTTGTAAGAGATGCGTGAAATAAATCGTTGGCAGAAAAAAAACCTGTATCTAAAACTTTCAAAAATTAGCTAGTGAAATTTATACATGACATAAGAAACCTTTGAAAAAATATTATATTTCACTCTACTGTGCTATTTTTTCTTTTATTTTATTTTTTTAAAAAATTCTTCACACCTAGGTGGATATGTTAGGGTAATAAGTAATATTCTTGTAGCTCTTAAATATAAAGCAATTTGTTGATCACTAAATTATATAATCACATAAAGAAACACCTTCAACCAGCCAAAGAAGCTGAAAGGCACTGCAGTTATATCCAAGGCAAACCCTTCTAATTTTTAAAATACATTCTTATGACGCACAACTACAGGAAAAGACTAGTGCTGAACAAGGATCTGTAGGTCTTTATTGCTTCCAGTTCAGCAAAATATTTCTCTTAGCTTTAGTTTCTACAGCATATGGGCTTACTTTGTATTTTTTCTTCAGTGTATATAGCATTTTGCATTCTGTGGTATATTTGTCTCATCAATTTACTTTTTTTTTCCCCTGTAAACCAGTAATTACAATTGTTCATTATAGTTTAGGTTTTTTTACTTTCACTAACACAATCTAAGTTAGAAGCCTAACCGTCTTTAAAGATCTGTTTATCTGCTAAAAATTTCTTTCATTATTGCTAAAGAAAACCGTCAATTTGTGTGAAGTAAGTGATATCTAGAGGGGTTTCTTCTCTTTCCTTGCTTTCTTTTTCATGTCTGAGGTTTTAAAACAATTCAGAACACGAGCTTTAGTCTGTTAGGGCAGTTTGCTGGGAGGGGATAAATAGGAAAATTTAGCTTCTTTCTGTTACTTATTCAGAAGTCATAAACCTCACAAGGAGCAGACACAGGTTCCCATTTAAGTGCCTTAAGAGTAGACTAAGAATCCCTTTAGCATGTTTTCTTAGTGGCCTCATCACTCTTAGGTTCCTGCCTGCACACTGCCTACCAACAGAAGGAAAATTTACTTTCACCCCTGATTGCCTGCAACACAATAGTGAACTGGCTGCAGTGTGAAAGGTGTAATTTCCATCTCCTTCAGAAGCCAAGTGGAGTTTAAAACTTAGATCTCCTGCTTCCTGTCTGACACTTTGGGACCTCTGCAAATCCCATCGCCGCCGTCAATGGTCATGATCCTCCTGGGTTAAACTCTCGGGCATCTCCAAAGATGTGAGATGGCAGTTAGGCAGCAGAGTGCAATGGGGCTCTACAGACGTGACGGGGAATCTATCTCACTCAGGTTATCACTTCTGAGTGTAAACCACCAGCTGAAATCATCAAAGAGCTTTCAGTCTTGGTAGAAAAGTGTCTGAAAGATTTGACAAAGATGACATCTGCACTGCTGCTAGAATCACAGGTGATTTTAGGATTTTTAAGTTTCTTCTCCCAAATGAATGACATACTTCTCTCTTGTATGGTTCAAGAAAACATCATAGGGAAACATATTTCTTTGCTGAATTTATTTTTTTTTTAGTGGTAAAATTTGCCAGTGTGTAAATATAGGACCAGCTGGCAACATCAATAACCATGAAGTCAGTTAACATTCCTCCAGTACCCCTCAAAAAAAAAAAACTGTCATCAGCTACTAAAATCTCTAAAAATCTGTCAGTCTTACTGTTCATCAGCTGTTATTAATGAGAAAACTGCCTTAAATCAACTGACCTGAAATGCAGATGAATCCAGAAGAGAAAAAAGCCTCATTGTATGAAGACAAGTTATCGGTTTGGGCATAAACTGCATAAATGGACATATGAGAACAAGAGCATTCCACATAGTCTGATGTGTCGTCCACCACTCTGCAGAACCCGCTATCAGACAGCCAGCTGCAAAACAAAAGATTCACAAAGTTGGAAACGGACTTGAGCGATTTGCCCGGCAAGCAGGCTTGAAAATGGCTGTCTTATCTCTGAAATACCAAGTTTTCTAAACAATTGCGGAGGTGTTTTGTGTCATCTTTCAGGTACAGTTCTCAGAACAGCACACCGACGTGAAATTAAAACATTGTTTATAGCTTTTAACTTTTATGATTTTAAAAAAGTAAATATATGGTAATGTACTTTTTTTTTTTTTTTCATTATTGATTTTTTGTGGCATGTTTTTAGAACTCCTGCAGGATTTACAGGTCTGTCCATCTTTTCAAACAGTTTGTTACTTAACTTGAACGATACCTTGGAGCATTATGGAGAACACTTCATTTTATACTGCTATTTGTTGTTTCGAAACTAAAATTCATGTTTTGTTTTCTTTTACTGCTGAACTGATTTTGAAAAAGAATACTAAATGTGACATCCTAAGCCATTTCTAGTGGAAATCACATCTGCTCTGTAATTGTGTGTAAGATAAAAGGAGAGCATACAGGTAAATTCTGCTGCAACTCCCTTCTGAGGAGAAATAGTTTATATCAGTGGCAGACTGATATAATCCAGTCAGTCTAATGAAATCATACGTCAACCAACTAGATCTCACCAGGATACAAAACATAACTGTCTCTGAATTAATTTATACTGTGTGAACAGGAAAGACACAGGCTAATCAAATAATGTGGCATTGAAGACCATACACGAAAACTTTATTCCATGGTTTGCAGTGGTATGAGTAGCAACAAGAATAGACAATGATCGGCAGTTCATTATTTTTTCTAAAAACTGGGAGACATCAACTTAAACTAGTAGCAGCAATATCTAAAAAACCCCACAAAACCAAAAAACAAAACAGGAGGTGGCTTTTCTGTCAAGAAGTAATAGCCCTATAGAGATCACTGTCAAAAGATGTGTAAAAATTCTGGATGGTGCAAGGAAAGACTAAACAAGTTTGTGGTAGAGAGCTCATTTGGTGTATGAAATACACAAAATCACTTTTGGCTCATAGAGTCACTGGAGAGCACAGTATTGGATAAATCACTATTTCTGCTTGTCCTGATCTTACACTTCCCTGGGTGTTTATGTTTAGCCACTACTAGAGACAGGATACTGGTCTAGATAAAAACCTTCGTCTGTCCCTTTACAGGTTTTTTTTTGGTTCACCTCACAGTGTCTTTCACAGACCCTAAGAAAAGAGTGGATGTTAGCAAATTAGGAACCTTCTGAGACAGTGACTTGAAACAACACCAGAGATGTGGGTTTTTAATTCTTTACTTTTGTAAGAATGGACTTGGAAGTGTGAAGTGTTGTCTGGTAACAACTGTAAAGAGTGCAAAGTCATTAATGCAGTGATGCAATTCTGGGATTTATGGACTGTCAGCATTGCCTAACACATCATTACATAATCTACATTATGATAATAATTTAACTAATAATATAACATAAAAAAAACTAAATTAGTTTTTTGGTGAAAAAAAGTAAAAAGTAGAAGTCTGAGAAATGTCTGAGCTACAATAACTATGCATTTTATTATACGGAAAGCTTTATGTGCTGGCAGGAAGGCCAGGAAAATAAAAAAAAAAAAGGAAAAAAAGATAGGAAATTGATCAGTTTCATACTTGCAAATGATCTAATCAGAGTTATCAAATCTTGGGCAAACACACAGGTTCATGGTAGAAACTGGAAAACTAAACAGATCAATAAACCTTTCAGCAGCTTGATTCCAGAGGAGACACAGAGACTTTTGTGGAACAATCCGACTGCCTGTAGCATAAACCCGATAAATTACTTCATTGTTATCTTTCAGAGGGTGAGAACTCCGACCCTTCAAACTCATAGAAAAAACCTGAAACAACACATGCAACATACAAATTTAATATTAAAATTCAACAGTCAGTGCTCATTTTAATCAGAGACACACACAAAAATACTCACATTATTTTAACTACATTTAAGATGCCTTAAAAAAATATCTAAATGCAATCTTTAAAAAATAAATTGCATAATCTTCAAACCTTGTTCTTCAGGGCAAGTTCCTTATCTCCAGTAAGGAACCACTGCTGGCTGCTGTATTCTGTGAACTGTACAGATTCACAGTTCTCTTCTTGAGGAGGTGATAATACAACAGAGACCTCTAGTAAGTGTTCAGGCGCTTGAATAGAATCCCCATCTTTTCCATCAAATCTGTGTCCATTGATTTGCTGAGGAAACCAGTTGTGAGCCATTATTGCAATGTACGGGCAGCTGTCAAGGATATTTTTACCCCTGTTGAAATGGAAAAGCAACAGGGCTGATAAGTGGAACTGAAATTCACTGTTCTTCACAGAATAACTAAAATGTATTTGTAATTAATACTTTATTCCTCCATCATTTTTAGGCTTTATGATGTTTAACTGAAACACAGTTTAAGTTTCTGTGGAAAACAAAAAAAAAAAGGAGGGGCTGATTTATTCTGTATTTCAGGTTCTCCATTGCCCCTCTGGGTTTTGCTCACTATGATCTGCAACCAAAACCCCTACATGGTAAACTAGGTTATCATAATTCTCATCTTTATAACTTGATATAGAGACAAGTCTACAAGAAGCAGATGCATTAAAATGGTTGATCGTGCTTTACCTCTTTTTCCGAACAGATGATGCAAAAAACTTGGAGTAAAGAACTTGAACTTTCAAGTTCTGGACACTGTTCAGGATAGTGTTGATATTTATACCATTTACTGTCATTTGGCTGAGATGGGCCTCATACCCCCTACAACTTAGGAAACGGCAAGAAAAATTTCATCTCCAAAATATAGAAATAGAGATAGAAATCTAAATTATGCCGATTTTCTGAGGGAAGAAAAAAAGGCGTTTCTTTTCTAAGTTCAAATACCAGTTGTTTAATAGATTTCCAGCGGGAGAAACTCACTGTTTAAAACCATCTGTCCCATAAAGTCAGTGTCACGTATTTCTGCAGTCATCTATTTCCCCTGCCCATTAGCCTGACCACAAGGTACTACTCACTTGCAGACAAAACTAGTAATTTGAAACTACATGTAAAACCTACAAGTAGCTTTTAAAAAAAAATTAAATTATGTTTAAGTGAGCAAAACCAACCGCAGAGAAATTACAAAATGCCAGTAGAAATTCTGGGTGACTTTCATCTAAGTCTTAGAACATAGCTCGTCATCGTACAATTACATATTATTTTCTTAGTAAGATTAATAAATACTTTTCCAGGCAATGTTTGAGTTAAAGGTGATCTAATATATCGCAGATCTCCTGACTCTTACTCCCACAGCAACCCTGTATCAGTGTACCAGTTACTTGTGACACCATACAGTGCCAATATAGTGCTTTGTGGGACTGTGACAGAGGGCAGCACATTTTCATACTGTTAACGTGTCAGACGACAGACAAATCCCTTTCCTAAAGAAGTAATTTAGATTTTTTTATATTGTTGTCAAGCATTTCCAAAACATACTATGAATTCAAGTTGACTAACCTTTCTCCTGGTGATCCACACATTATCCCGGTTAACAGGGAAAAAGCGAACTTCTCTGTCACCTCAGCCAGCAGGCTATATCCTCGTGTGTCCTCCCGTTTCGGGCTAGCCAGGGTGCAGAGTATCTCATAGAAAAGACTTCTACTTTTATCAGTGAGTAACTGCTTTTCACCCACATCTGTAACCTAAAGAGAGCAGAAGAAATCAAACATTTTATAAACAGAAGTGTGCTTCTAACATTGGCTCATGTGAACAGTTTAGTAAGAATTATTCAGTATTAGGTAATATATATAATAAAATAGTAAGTATTAAGTATTTATCCCAATATTTGTTATGAAAGTTCAGAATATTTTTTCCACCTTCTGATCACCACTGCCAAGCTGTGAGAGGCAGTCTGTGTCAAAACTACGTAAAGATATGGTTACTAACTGGGATTTGACTATTAAAGAAACCATGTGGCATTTTTCATTCTTTCACAAGTCACAGATTGTTGACCTGAGAAATCTTCACGTCATTTTCTCAGCTTTCTGGCAACACTCAGAAATGAACTGTTGTTCATGAGTATTGTTATATTACTTTGTGTCTATTTAAACAGCTCCTGAGCATTATTCCATAAGTCCAGAAGAGACAGAAAGTCATAAAACTAGTCCCAAAGTTTTCAGAGGATTTAGTGCAATGCTGAAGTGCTCAGCTACCCTGCCAACCTGATTCCTAAAGCTACCGCAAGAAAAAAAGATGAGCTGCATGCCTGGTTAAGAGCACAGCAGGCTCCAGCTGGCCCTGGAAGGATTTGCTTGTCTGGTGACTGCTGTCAGTGTGAAGACAGGAACAAAATTTGGGTCTCACTACCTTGTGCCGGGGCTGAAAGCAACCAAGATGTGGCTTGAGAATCAGGAAACCATAATAAGCTTCATGAAAGTATGGCACCAATGGGAAAATTTTGCACGGCAGCAAATCTGGAGCTATAGGTACATATGCAAAGTTAATACTGGTTGCTATTTTCAACCTATTTGATTTTTGATTTCCTGACACCAGCCTAACTAGTGGCGGACAAACCTTTTCCCCGATTGTGGGACTTCACAATTTCTGTTTCTACCTGTGCACTCGGTGCCCCTGAGTCACTGTTGTGGATGCCAACCTTGATCTTATCACGAGCCTACATGTTATTACACTCTTATTAAAAACTCATTGGTCATTCAAGAAAAAAGCAGGGAAGGTTTACCTTATCTATTATATGCATCACAGCAGTAAGCTGCTCTTCTGTAGTTTCTGTAGCCACTTTGACATTTAGATTCTGGAGGACTCTGTGTAAAATGGTGTCATCAAGAGGCTGATGCAGTTGATCAATTAGCCCCCAAACTGGCAAGGAGTCCAAATCTGAGACAATGGTGACATTAGCAATACCATACACGTCGTCCACCCTGGCACCGCCTGTGGGGTTAGAAATTACAACCTGGAAACGTTTAGGAAACGGGTTTAAAGATCCTGTCTTTGGAGTCAGGGTCACATCCAGAAACGTGTTTCTCTGCCCAGGTTCAAAAGTCAATAAACCTTCAGATCTGGCAAAATCTTGTCCTGCCACAGCTGGAGATATGAAGGTTCGACCAATAGGTTCAGGTTTTTGTAGCTCCTTAAAACAAAACAGAAGAGTTTCAGGTAACATTATGAAAGATGCAATTGTTCAAAAGCAGCTGCTGTAGAACATATTTCATATGGATAAAATTCAAATGTGAAAAAAGTAAGTCCTCTTTCAAAATGCAGTTAACAATGATATAACAATTGCATTGAATGAAATATCTCCCTGAAATAGCAATCTGTCACTAGGTGACAGCCTAGGGGTAGAATTATATATTATCAATAGTAAACAGGATCCCTCTTTTCCAGAACAAAATTCAAAAAGCTCTTCTGGGTGAATAGATATTACAGAAATGTTAGCACATCCGTAAGGTGAATTCCAGAGGGGTTGATGTAAGTTTATGTCTGCAGCGCGAAGTCCCTCAGTTCAGGCATTACAGATATGTAAATACTAAACAAAAGTAAAGCAAAGGTTTTGGAAATCTGTGCCCAAACTTATATCAATTAATGATATTTTCAGTCCCAGTATAAATACTCAAAAGAATAACAATCCATTTAGGTCCAAAGGCAAAGCAAACACTATAGAATACACATGCAAAGCAGAGAGATGAACTTATCTAGGAATGCTATATGGCCTCATTTCCCTGTGAAGTAGCACTATTTTTACCTTCCATGAGGTTTGCAGATAACTGTTTCGCTCTTCACATTCTTGCTCTTTTTGTCAGTTGTCATAACCTTGATATTACATCTGGTAATGTAATAAACTTTCCTTAAGTGGAAACTAACATTCTGGGCTATTATTCAAATGTATGACTTAATAGTATCTATTAAGTACAGATTGTATACTGACTATTAAGTAAAGGTCTTCTGTGAAAACAAGGATGTTTATTTGTGAAATACTAGACCCCTTTCAAAAATATTTAGCTTTAATTAGTAGAGTTTACTTATGGAATAAATCAGAATTTTTTTTGAGCTCATAGGAGAACATGGCAAATCAATGCAGTGTGTATCTGTTGAAAATTGCTCTAGAACATGACCACATCTGTGCAAATTCCAGTGAGAAGTTTCCTTTTGCTTATCCCTTCCAGCTGAGAATTAGGAAGCAGGGAAATAAGTGGTCGTAAAAGCACTAGTGACCAGAACAATGTTTAAGAAGCCTTTGTAGGAGTGAGATAAACATCTGTTTCCAGTTAGCACCTCATGCTTCCTGTCTGCCAAGACCTCTTATTTTACAGGTACCAAAGTACAGTACCAATACTTTGGTAACTTGGCCATGCATCCTCAATACCTAAAAATATCCAAAGAAGGGTTGTTATATGAAAAAGGATAAGGAACTGTCCCCTATATTTTAGCCTAAATATATGCTGGACAGTATAAATTTCTTCTCCACTTCACAGATAAATTATAATGAAGTCTTGTCTGGAAAGAGTGTGAAAATTTGATACCACACAATCTAAAACACTGGCCAGCTACTGTATAGTAAACACATGGAAACACCATGTAAACCTGTGCAGTTAAGATAGAGAAGCATGAAATATAACAACAGAACGCAAAACCTTTTATTACAAAGACTGAGTACTCTGGTCACACAATGCTTTGTTTTAATAACCCTTCCCTAAATCATATTTTTAGGCATAAAATCCCTCATATTCAATGCAGATCAGGCCAAGCACTATTCCAAAGTGATGGCAAACTTGGAGGAATCCCTCTTGCAGTCTGTGCCCTGATGTTGGATTCACAACGATATGGAAGTGGAAGGAATCATGTTTTTGCAGCTGTGTTATTTCTACTAAAGGGGAATCTTCATCATCTGTCAACAATAAGGAGGTACTCATCTACAGATAAAAGGGTCAACACTCTTTGTTAGAAGAGTCTGGTCTAACAGTTGTAAACAGAACAAAAATGAATGAGGATGATAAAATTTACTTTATGACATGAGAGTTCTGATTGGAAGAACAATTTTCAAGTTTAGTACTTTAGGAACATGGAATAAAATTTGATGACAGTTCTCCCTCTTTTCCTAAGTGTGGTCTGTGTATGAATAAATCTGTGACCTAACACAGCAGGTGTGTTGGTACCTGAACCTTGTAGTCATACTCATGATGATAAAAATTTAATTTCTGAGAAAGAAGCCACAAAAATTGGAGCCTCATAAGAACCTTAGACAAAGAAAGTAATTTATTTAATGCCTGAATGACTGTAGTCTTTGAGGCTACTGGAAGGTACCATGAACAAAATCACTCTTGACAATGCAGTGAGAACAAGGTCTTTTTACTAACGGGAAACCAAAGAAACCAGACCACATAGGCCCAGTAAACATTTGACTGTTTCCTGTAAAAATTCTAATTAGTCACACTTACTTTATAGAATGAACAATGATTTAAGGATAAAATTAATAATGAAAAATGTTAGAACATAAAAAAAAAAAAGTCTTACTTGCATGCTGTAGCTAACTGTTGTGGTTACTGATGTACTAGAATCTCTAAGCACTTGCAGACTGATTAAAGTTGTCTTCTTATGAGCCACAGCAAAACGAGATCCCACCGCAAAATATACTAAACCATGAGGAGCATCACTTTCAAGGACTGTTATAAAAGCAAATCTGGCACTGCTGTTCAATGCAGCTCCTGCGCTTACAGCATACAGCTCAACAAAAAAATAAGTTTCAAATTCAGGTACCTGTAAATAAAGAGATGATTTTCATATCACTATACGTCCTACTATTACCTTCAGCTTAAAAAAAAAAAGTATTATTTCATACGCATAATAGATTACTTGTAATAACACTTAACCATAGGCATGCTTCCTGAAACATGCAATAAGTACAATGAAATATATCCCAAAAATAATATTGCGACAGGCACTACTCTGTCATGTAAATAATGAAATGTTGGATTTTCACATAGAACTTTTTGCAATGAATATCTATCTATACACTACATTATTGTGGCTGTAAATTTGCCATAATATATGACAGCAGATTCTCCAAGAGCTCCATATTTCAGATTATGGATTTACATCGATGTACATCTTGTGAAGAATTTGCTCCCTCATTTTCTTTTGCCTTACAAAAAGGCATGTACAGTCCTACTCACCTGTGGAAAAACTGCACGGAAGTCTAAGTATGCAGTTTTGAAACTGCAATTAATTAACTTCACTATATTTGAGTACTGAACTCAGGTAAAGTTCTGAAAAACTTTTTACATACAGCCTTAGTGTTTCAACACTAACAAGTTTATGCATGTTTTACCACCATATCTCAGCAGACTTGAACAATTAACTGAGTTTATTGAAAATCACAAAGTTTAGAGATACGATCTGATAGACTTTCGTGAGGTTTAAGATCTAGATAAATCTGTCAATCTGGAAATACAGGATATTTAATTTCAGTGTTCATATGTCAAAGAATTAGCCTAGCCGATTCTGCATTCTTAGAGCTTGTTCACTGAAAATAAGGTAGCAATACTAAATTACAGTATGGCATTCTGCCTCATCTTTGATTTTGTACCTACAATACAAACATAATATGTTTAGAAATAGACATCTGATTACTAAGATTCCAGAAATTATTGAAAATACGTTATATGTACCTATTACATGCACTCCTGAAGCAGCAAGATTGCAAAAAATAGTTCTTTAAAAAAAAAAAAAAAAAAAAAAATCATTGGAGACAAGTTTTTTATTAGCAAACATAGCTTTTTGTTTCAGCTCGGGATTTTTGGAAATCCTACTTTAATTTGAGGAACGCAGGATTCAGCTCTTGACTAGCAAAGTCAGTACAGCTGACTAGGTAAACACTTTCAAAAGCTGGAATATGTGATACCATATGCCATAAAATATGTAAAATATTTATTGAATGTATTTACTACTTCATCGTTTTGTAATGTATTCGTTACTAATTTATAAGCTATCTTATGGAAGAAGAACTGGAAGAAGAATTAGTGCATATTTTCAGGGTTAAATAGCATGTATTTTTAATTGACTTCTTAAGTAATTCTTTAAATGGAATGATCTTGACTAATTGATGACGGGCACGAATTTATGTGAATGCCATAGGGAACTTTAGCTTTCCATTAGCACCTGTTAAAGTGGCACACGCTTTGCTTCCCATGGCACAACTGCATGTCTCTGCAGCTGCTGTCATTAGATAATGATGTCACTCCCTTGGACTAAACAGGTTCAAGATCCCACTTTACTCAGCAAGGCAGCCTGTGATCCACTCATGTATATATTTTATTCGTTAGCTCTGTAATGTAAAAGTGACATCTGAAGATGAAGAAGGAAAATGGCCCTCTTACTGAATTAAGAGAATGCACCCTATACCCTAGTGGGAAACCACTATTTCCACACATCCTACATCTTGCATTAATTTCAAGAATATAGTCAGAAAAAACATAGAAAACTCGTCCTTTTTTCATACCCCAGACCTCAGCGTTAGCACTAGCCTGGCTGTTAGGATAATTTCTTATAAAGTTTCAAACTCTCCACTCTGAAAGAACAGCGCACACTTATCCCTCCTTTCTTAAGGGACTGCTCTAACCACTAGGTGTTCACACAAAAATATTTTTTTCCTTCTCTGTGCTGTGCTTTGTGTTAATCCAATGACGTCTGCATTTTTGAGTGCCAGCTGGGCTTCTCAGGGCTCTTAGGCTTAGGCAGACCCAACTGACAAATGCCAAATGGCTTTAGTGGATGTCGGCTGCTAAACTGAACTTTGCTACTCACAAGCTGGATGTGCACAGTGACAGATTTTTAGACACTCAGAGATTCTTATGCTGCTCTACGACTGAATTGAGTTTTCACAGATCATTGTGCTAGATTTAGGCATCTAAAATTATGCACAGGTTGCAAAAAAAAAAAAAAAAAAAAAAAAGTTAAGTGAGATGTTACTACTTACAGGATACGCTTTCCACAAACCACCCTAAGAAGTGCTTTGATAGATGAAAAATTCACTGTGTGAAGGATAACAGTCCAGTATATGAATATCAATCTCTCTGAAATAACTCTGTTCTATTTCTCTTATTGTTCTACAAAAATCTGAGATTTGCAATTTACTCATCAAACTAAATACTAATCTCCTTTGCAAGTTTTTGTCGGTCACAATGGGGGTAGTGCAAGCCTCTAAATAAACATGCATTTGCAGAGGAACTCAGCAGATGTTAAGTTACCACGTTCAAACTGCACATCAGTTCCTCTGAATCAGAGAGGGTTTTTCATCTTGATAAATTGCAATTCAATGTTATAGAGCTGTACATAACCGAGCAGTAATTCCTTACGTTATCAGGTTTTATTTCAATGGAGATGTTGCAGACAGTTTGACCTGCCATGCAGGTAGTGGCTCCCAGCACTGATACAAGCTCATTCTCCAGGTTCATGCCATCCTTCAGAAGGACAACAGCTGTTTTATTAAAGGTCACACGCCAAAAGATCTTCACATCTTCAAAAGCCCTATAAGCGAACCAAGAGCATACATGTACTGAAGGTGAGCACTATTGTTTTAGAAAACATTAACCACAGAGATAACATTATTTTTATGTTATTATTCAAAACTTATCACTAGGGAACAAACTACTTTAAGATTAAAATTTCGCTCTTTTTATTTCAATTCCTTCCTCTGAAATCAGTTTAGTTTACCAAAAAATAATACAGGAAGAAAATAAAGCAATTACAGGCACCCAGGTTCTTCTCAATATTTGTTTCAGAAAACATGATATTAACTGCATAAAAGACACTGGTCCTTGGAAGACACGGATGTGGCAGAGTACCTTGCTTAATACTATAGTAATCATTTCCCTGGAAAGCCAGGCAGAATTTGTCCTCCCTATAAGTTTAAGGAACTTATAATACTTCCGCATATTTGTTTAAAGTACACATAAATGGGCCACAGATAATTAGAAAAAACGTAGTATCTGTGTGAGTAAAGACATAAGCATAGTCCTGACACTTAGGTAACTTCCTTATTGCTCATTTTAGTATGCATACCTACTTGTATCACACAGGGAGATGAGAATTTGAGTTACACTTTTAGCAGTCTTTTAGCAGTACTTTACCTTAAGCAAAACTTTCACGCTGCCTTACGGTATAAGTTGGAAAATACCTTTTTTTTTTTTTTCCATTTCTGCTTTATCACAGTACAGTGACAGACCTAATCACATTCACAACCTAAAAGCTCGTTTGCCAAATTCTGGGAAGTTATTAAAGGAGCTGAAAGGCAAAGATTTATTATAAAAATCTCTATGATAACCTCTTCCACTAACAGCAGCTTCTGTGATTCAACACAGCACACTACAGCGTGTGGGAAGAGCACTTGAATCAGCTGTTGCCTGCACCTGTTTGGTTGCCTCGCGACAATGAGCAGCACTTCTCTGTTTTCTGAGTCTTCATCAAGTACAAGACCGCTTTGTACTTCTGGAATGAATCCCAAAATGCCATTCTGGAGATCACTTCCTATATAGGAAACAGCCCGTGAAGGTAATTATCAACAAAAGTTAAACTGAGACTAAATTATAATTTTAGTATGGATAACTGCTAAAAAAAATAAAGACTAGGTATCAAAAGCATGATGCAAATTACCACTTAGGCACACTCCAGGAATATTTATTTTAATATTTTTATTCCTAATTTACACTCCCTACTTCACTAGAAATTCAAATGTTGGAATTTCTAAATTTAATTTTAACCAGTAGAATAAGTATTTTTGAAAGTAAATTCCTCACGAGAGTCCTGGCACCATCTACACACAGAAGCTTGTATTTTCAGCAGCAGTCGGCAAACTGGCTGAATTCTGTGTCCCCTGACTTCAAGAGACTGGGTGTTACAGTAGTCTAGAACAACGTCCGCAGCCTTGCTTGTAATGCCCTTATGTGATATCACTTCAGCTGTATTACTTTATGTTTACCAGAACCCTTGAGATATATTCTTCCTAAACAGAAATGGCCCCCAGCGTGTCCCCAGATGGACAGCATTGCCACAGCAGGTTATGGGATAAAGATGGACCTCCAAGGACACAACTGCAGCTTTCTTATTCATCCCAGTAATAACGTTGATGAACCCATTTATTTTCCCGGATTGTTACATCAGCTTTTCTCCTGCATCTTTAATCAATGTGTGGAACTAGGGAGCTGCAAAATACCGCTTTGTTCTCATGGGTATGTAAATAATTTCAGCAAAACAGCGGTGGAGGAAAAGAGAACAGGGTTAATGAGGGGAAACTGATGTCTTCACAGTGTCCCATTAAATTTTGCTTCTAAAGGATTTCTCCTTCTCATTACAGGTAATGATGGCTTTACTCTGCAATTGAAAAGGCAATCTACTTCCAACCCAGTGCTTATTAAATGTCAATATATATACTGAAAATTAACAGTAACTGCTCATTTGCATATGTGCATGCACAAATATTTAACCTGCGGTATCTTCTTATACAGTTAAATGCAGATACATGCTTTGACCTTTCTCCTCAGTGCAAGTTGTCTCCCGATGTTACTTTACACACTCATTGTACTCAGGGTGTAACTCTAGAGCACGTTAATACATTTCTGTGGGATTCAATACAAGTTCAAATTCCAACCTGTGCACATATTTCTTCAGTTACCTGCCTGGTGAATTCGAGAGATGTTACACATGAAGGAATGCGGGTTTTATATGGTCAGCTCTTGCACACGTGATTTTGGTTGCTGCATACACTCATACAACAGTTTAATCCTGGTCCTCAATATCTACCTTGTTTTGTTAAGACTATGTCAATACACAAAACTTACAATAAATGTTGGACCTTACGTAGAATTTTGTTGATTAGCCCGAACTGTTCCAATTCCCACTTACTTCTAAAACTTATTGTGGTTAAACATGGTTTATATTCAATTGATAAGTCTGACAGATATCTGAAACCTAGGGGAAATGGGAGCTCTGACATAATTTTCTCACAGTAGCATGCAGTGTCTGAAAGAAAAATTCTTCCCTCATGTCTGTGTAAGACCATTCCTATCCTCCACCTGCAGAGGATGACCACCCTGCAGATATCAACTGCATAGTATCAGAGAACAAAAACAGAAGCTGTTTCGTACACTTTTCACAAACCCTACACAATGTAAAAGTGACAAAATAGCAAAGAAAAAGAAAAAAGCCTGAGATGCTATCACATCTGCAAGAAAAACACTCAAGCTTAGCCTTTTAAGCTTCATGAAGTAAAGCAGGACAAGAACACAGATAAACAGCACCGATAAATGTATTTTGAGCTATGTTGCTAAGGGATGCATGGTGGGCTTGGTGCATTAGGTGCTTACTCTGATGTGGAAAACTCGAGATTGGGGAATAGAATACCCTGCTTGTTACCAAATAGAATTCTAATATTTACATGAAAATTGCTATGAAAACATAAAGGTATTTACTGTTATTTAATTCTGATGTATTTACTAATTTTCTGGGGGAAGAAATATTACCTGCAATAATTACTGTTGCAAAAGCAGAAAATCCATATTCATCCTTTCCTTCCACAACCTGAGCTCCATGTTCAGGATTTGAGAGGAAAACGTAAAACAATTCCTGTCCTTCAGGCTCATCGTCATCAAAAATTTTTATGCACACCTGCTTTTCTCTTTCTCCATCCAGCAAAGTCAGAGAGACTGACTGTTCCTCAAAATCTTCTCCTTCTGTTGCCCATGTGATATTCAATTTTCCATAAACGTTTCCAAAAGGATATGAATCTAGTCCACTCTGTGCACTCACACCCCCAAAGGTTTTAACAGTTACTTCAATATCACCAGTGAAACCCTTGGTCCTTCTGACATGAAGTATCACTGTGTTGGGGGTACTGCTGTTGGCATCTTCTTCAACATAAACAAACTCTGGCCCCAAACTTAGTATTCCATGATGAATGTCATTATCCAGGATATTAACTGTTGCAACACTGAAAGCCGGATTCAGACGTGGGCTCCTGGCAGGATTCAGAGGTTGAACATCCAAAACTTCCACAGCAGTCAAATTTACAAAAAAAAATTCCTCCATTTCAGACACAGTGTCATCAACTATTGCTATTTCTATCACAGCGTTTGTCTGAAAATGTAAAAAAATAAGCTCTCCATTGTAGATGGGTATAAAGTCCTCTAGTGGTTTGGCACTTCCTGGAACGGTCTGATAAGTCAGTTTAGTGAGATTACTTTGAAAACCAAACAGTCTTTGGACATGCAGTGTGACTGCCTGAACATCTTCTTCAACTGAAACAGATCTTGAGTGAAAAGCAAATTGAAATATCCCCATTGGCTCAATTTCAGCTATTGTAAATCCTGATCTGAAACAGAAAAGATAGCGAAGTTGAGGGAGGAAATATGACGTTTGAAAGGTAAAACACCCGAGCAGAATAATTTCCAGTGAACAACCAAAGATGGCTGGAAGAAAGGGGATGAAAAAAAACATGTAAGAGTAGAGGGAAGAAGCAACCATACAGATGTAAAGAGGTTCTCTGAAAAAGGTTTTTGCAATGATTGGATTGAACAGCCCTCCACAGGATTAATGCACCCTGAGTCAGCACAGGATATGGAGTAAAGGGTAAATAAAATAAGGTCTTCCTGAGAAAATAGAGAGGGAAAGTATGATGTCTTTCTACTGTAGACACAATGCGGGGAGATATATTACAATGTTGACACCCCAATTAATACCAGTTTTAACCACTGAACAAACATCCTGTACCAAGTGAAAACTGTGGGGTGGGCAGATGCTAGCAGATCTACAGTTTTAGCCAGGAAGCCAGCGAAGGAAAGGGAGCTGTTTTAAAACTTACACTGGGGCTTTGAAATACTAACTGCCTCCTCACAATGTTGTTCATCGAAATTTCTTCCAGATCTGAGCCCTATTATCAATATCAGTTCAAGCTCTACTGTGTTCATATTAAATGTATGCGCTTCTCATTAGAAAATATTCACAGTCTAAGACTCTTTGTTAAACCTTGGTTCTTATCTCTGGAACTGACCCATTATTCAGTGCTGGTGGCTAACAAATGGCACTACAATTACAGTGAATAATTTTGGTTCAACAAACTAGACCCTTTCCACCACTAAGGGAGCTAAAACCTCTTCAAAGTAATTGTCAGCTTTACCTCCTGTGCCACCGCAGTCTTAAGTTTTCTAGGAAAAAGGTCATTCTCGTAGACCCAAGGTATTTGACTCACAGAGTAAACAGGTGCTCTGAGGACACCAGTCCACAGGACAGGCACGCCTAGGAGAAAGGGTCAGTCTCAGGAGTTTAGGCATCCAGTTCATTCCTTACTTCCTTCAGATTTCCCAGTGTAATTGTTATATGGTGAAGCCAATACCTTTCTCCATATGCAGTGTTACTCTACGTCCATCCTTTTCAGACCACTTTTAGCTATCAATAAGTAAGAAAGAATGAAAATAGTTTGAAGAAGAGATGTTTAGCTGAGATGGAAAACTACATTCAATGTAATGTTTCTGGTTTTAAGAATAAAAAGGAATTTTTGTAAAAATTAGGAATTTTCAGAGCATTTCTTGTTTCGTTTTACTTATTTTAAACAATGTTATCTAAGATCTTCTAAATAAATAATTTAAGGACACTAATGAAAACTGTTAGAGTCGCTGTCATCCTTCAGCCTCCTGGCTAGAACTGTTGATCTGGGTTCTTCATTCTCTTGACTGTCTCCATCATTCTAGACACACTCTGGGCATCTTGGAGCCCAGTAATATGAAATAGACTGGAACTGGAGAAAAGCCTCAGTTCTGATAAGGTAAGATCTGCAGCACTGACACTTGTTTCCACCTGAGATAAGGCATACATATTTATCAAATAGGCACTACAGCTCGTGAGCTACCTGTAATTTAACAGGGATTTGTATGCAGTTTGTGCCTGCACACAGGTCACAATTCTTATGGCATCTCTGAGACTCAAAAGTGTAAGTAATATCCTTACCTCAGGCGAGCCCCACCAGACACATTGCTGTGCACTGCTGCTAAAGTGATGGCAAATGACTCGTGTTTATTTAGGCTTGGAGTGGCTTGAAATGAAATTACTTTGCTTTGCTCACCAGAGGAAAATACAACATTACCTGAAGGAAAAGAGAGTGTGAGAGAGAGCACATTCAAAATCAATAAACAAGAATCCTCTTTTTACCTGTGAACCTGCTGATAAGGACTTTAACCACAACTCCACTACATTTAGGAAGAAGCAACATGCACAATAAGGGTCCTTCCTGTATAAAGCTGTGCTTCAGGGGCATAGCATTGTGCCTGCCTCCCAGACCTGTATCTGTGAAGCTTACTTCTTTTTTTGCTCATCAGGTAAACATAACCCTTACGGATAAAAATTAGACCAAACAATTTCATTCTAATGACTCCTCATTAATACAGGGAGCATTTAGAGGTACGAATGACTAATGCAACTTTCATAGCTGTTTCCTCAGAAAAGTACTTACCAAATGGAGGAGTAATATTGCCTGGCTGAGCAAAGCCCGTGATTAGGTCTGGTGGGTATCCTGAAATCCAGCTAACTGTTACAGAGCCATAAACTCCTTGTCTGGTTATGACAGCTTGGCCTGTCCCTGCTACGATGTCTGTAAGTCGTAAAGTCACAGATTCAAAGCCAACCTGTCGAAACGTAGTAGACTTTGTTACAGAAAAATTGAATAAAAATGGGCAACAACATATGTGAAAGCATATTATGTTCTGTAAACCAGGCATTTTACAATGATTATGCGTGCATACAGATGTATGTTTGTACATCTATATGCACGTCTGTATATTTATACATACTTCTTTCACAACTCTTTAACAATACTTCTAAATCTTAGATTTCTCAGAATTAGATCTCCGGGAAAAGGAACCAGTATGACTAACATTTCAGTACTGAAAACACTGAATACAGCGTTCTGTGTCTGTTTAAAAGAAAAACAAACCAACCTGCCCTTCACCGGCAATAGCTGTAGTTTTATATATATACACACAGATTTAAAATAAATTATTCATTGTGTATCCAGTGAAAAGTAAGCTGTTGCCACATGAAATTGTTCACAGAATTATTCTTGCTAGTATGATCTACTTTTCTTTTTCTCTGGGCAGCAAATGGTACTGAAAGGATAATTTGCACATTGTATAAGCAATGATAAATGGATATGGTAGTAAACAATGGTTATGGAAAGACCCTTTGAATTACAATTTAAAAGACAGACCAATTAAAAATCATTAAATAAAAACTTCAATAAAATTTAAGGGGTAGAAACCTCATCATGCTATTGTCTGCCTGACATACAAAAAGGGAACTGTAGCACATATACCATATCAGGACAGGCCAATTCTCTTTTCTCACTCTCATACAACGTAAAGCAATGGAAAATTTCCCACTCAGTGATTAGCCAAATATACTGTCAATTGCATTAAAATCCCGCATGACCTTCATTCCTTTTTCCACGTAATAACCACACACATGCCGCTCTATACTTTGGGGCTGCTATACCTAAAGGAATGACATCATCCAGAATTAGTTATTCTCCTTTAAATGTCAGAACTTCCATTTCATGTAAACAGAAGTATAAATTAACCGTAATGTTTGGACTATGTATATTTTACAGACGAAGAAACATTTTCAAACTGTATTAACAGATATCTATAAGAATTTGTACCACAGAAAATATAATATGCAGTGCAAGTAATAACTGCAAAAGTCTTGTCAGTCATTAAATTGGTTGCAACGATGAAAACTTAGGGAGTCAGTTGAATCCTTCCAGCAGCTATCTTTGTAATGACGTGTACCTTCCTTCCCTGGTAGGAGCCACTCTACTGACCTGTGAATTGGCAGCTTCCTCAGGAATAAGCAGAACAGCTGACTTTGCTTTTCCTAATATTTTAGGCACATCCTTGGCACTTCCAGTAACCAGGCTTACATTAATCAGTTCCAGAGTAAAATTCAAGCCCAGTAAAATAAATGCCTTTGAGAGAGAGAATTTAATTAAAAAGGTAGAAATTTAATTCCCCTAAAAACATGATTTCCACCAGTTCAAACAATTAAGTAGCAGGACAGTCTGCAGATTTTGTTCTACTTCCATACAAAACTCAGTGTTTTCAAGTCAAGTGTTTTGCAGATTATGTTTCTCAAAAGAAATACAGCTAAAACACCAGCATTTTGAATGTGATTTACCAGCAGTTTGTTGGAATGTGTGGCAACTACTGCCATTCTAATAAATTGTATCTATCACAACTTGATTTTGATCCTTAGGATTAAAAAGATGCAAGATGGATATAAAAGGATGTAAGTGTGGATGTAATACTGTGACAATAATAAGAAAGAACTGCAAGTCAATTTATCTGCTGCTTCATGAGTCAGGAATGACAGAACACTATTTACAATCCAAAAGAGAAACTGGAGGAAATATTTGCATACATATAATAATAAAATATTGAACTGATAGTAATGCAAAGCAATGATGGAAGGAAACACTGAATATTTGAATACATGCATAGCAGTGATTTTGCAATTATTATTTGGAAATGTGATATTTGAACCCAGTTCTATTCAATAAATAGGAAATCCATAAAACTAAAACTCTTTTCTGCTTCTTTGCAGTGGATGCTATTGAGAGCTTAGTATCTTATTTATATTGTGATGAACACAAATGGAAACAATAGGTATCATAGGAGCTAAAAGGATAATACGGACCTGGTTGCTTATTGGCACTCTTTTCACTCCAAAGCTGGCACCATCTTTTATGGTGAGGTATCCCACCTCATTCTCAGGTTCAATTAGCACTTCTTCATGATGAGACATGATATGGTACTCCACAACCACTTCTCCAAATGCCCCAGCATGCCGAGTCACATTAATCTGAACATACCGATCCAGGTTCCTCTCTATGAACACTGACTGCTGATCAGAGTACAGGGCAAACACTCCGTAAGGATCATCATTTGCAAACACGTTGATCTTTGAAATTCTTTTCTCTTCATCTAAATCTGCTCCACCTTCTACTGAAACCAGCTGCACCACATAGCTTTCATCCAGTTCTGGAACATCATCAGGTAACAGGTAGATGGTTATCTCAGCCGTGCTCTGCTGGTCAGCAATGACAACAGACCCCTCTGTCATAAGAAAGTCACCTGTGATGTCAGATTCACTGTGTATTTCCCAGTAAACCTGAAATGAGTTTAGAAAATGCGGAGAACGAAAGCAAAATTACCCACAGAGTCAGAAACTTCCATACTCAGGATTCAGTATAGGTAGGATATCAAACAGATTGGTTTTAAATGGGCAAAATAAAAACTGGTTTTAGGTATGTATAGAGAGAAGCACACACCCCTAACAAAAGTGTGTTCCTCTAACAGCACTGTCAATATAAGGATCTCCTTTGTATATATTTGGAAGATTTATGTAAAACTATATGAAATCTCTGAGCAATTTTTTGGAAATTATTTCTGTTTTTACACCAAGATATCCTTGAATGTTTTCCCCGTTTCTAAGATTCTTCACATCAGAAAGGGGTGGAGAGTTCTCATTAAACACAGCAGATGATTTTATTAATTGATTAAAAAAAAAACCCAAAAAAACAAGGACCTGTTAAAATTCTGACTTCTAAACAACTTTAGGAAAATCAGTGTGAGTGATTGTTCAGAAAAGTCTGATTCTTACCTTTAAATACATCTGGAAAAAAGTAAATTGTGATCATCTCAAAGAAAGCTCACTATGAAAGTATGGTGTCTTTTGTCCTCCCATCAAAAGCACATGGTGAGAGGGAGAGAGAAAGTGAAAGAAGCACTGCAGTACTATTTTTCTTTTAATTTTTTTTTTTCCTGACCAGGGAAGACTGAATCTGACTCTCCAAACCACAAGTATGAGGGCTGAGCCCTTGCTAAATTCAGTCTAAAAGGCAACATTTCAAAAATTAATTTGACAAAGAAGCAATTGAAAGGCACAGAATAAGATATTCCACCATACATTGACCCTGAGGATGATTTCAGATCATACTGTTTATTAGGAAAAGAGTGAGAATACCGTTATGTTTCCCAGAGTGCCTTGAACTCGTCTGACAAACAGTGTAATACTTTGCGGCCCTTCCACTGGTGAGGGTTCTGTATAGTTTTTCTCAGTTAATGATTCAGGAGCAAACTGTACAATTCCATTGGGATCACCAAACTTCTGTATCTGTAAAAAAGTAAACAAACAAAAATCAGAAATGTAGAGTGAGTTGCATTCTTGTTCAAACCACCGAGATTTTCATTGCTAGATGCTAAAGGGCAGGTATCTATTAGTTCTTCCTACTGAGTTTTCTCCTCTTAAGAAGATTCAAGAGTACATTAGTAGTTAGAGACTCAGAGAATGAAAAAAAAATCTAACAGCAGACAGGGCCACCGAGTTATGAGAAGGGAGTGATATCGAGCCCATGTGCACACAGACAAACACGCGAATGCACATGTGAAATACGAAATCTATGGGTGTCTTGCTCTTTTGTGACATCCTACAGTGATAAAGAAGTTTAAGCAGGATCTAAACTGGAGTCAAGATGATACTAAAAGACAGCAGAGAAAATACGAGTGTCCCCTTTTCTGTTTTCAGTCCCCCTGTCCATGGAAGTAAAGGACAGAGTTTTATTTCAAATGCTGTATCTGAATATTTTTATGTGAAAGCAGGAAGCACCTTGGGGTAGTGTACAGAAACTCTTCTAACATTATCAGTTTGGAAACTCAGCCCTCGGGGCTAGAGCTCCCCCACATCCACCTGCGTGAATCGCTAGCTGCCACAAGAATTCACGGTGAACTGAAGCAACGTCAGTGCCTACTGAGAGTTTATTGGCATGCAGGGTGAAACAGTCCAGTCCAAGGAATAAACGTGGGGCCCTGAAGGAGAAACTGAGGACTCTGTGGAAAGAGGAGCTAATTCCATCCACACTCTACAGACCAGAAAAAAAAAAATCCTATTTCTAGGAAAGATTTTTTTTTTTTTGAGCGCTTCTTATAACAGCCTTATAAATGTTTCCTTAGTTGCAGTATCCCTACAGCAATAATTTGACAACTCCCTCTGCCTTGCCCCACAAATTTCTGCATTTCTCTTGCTCTGCAACAGTCAAATTCTCTCTTTTATATATTATGTCCGGAGCAGAAGAGGTCAAGAAGGGATGAATAACAAACTGACATTTAGAAATGAGGACCCAGTCCATGCTCTCTCCAAAGAGAACCACAGAAATCTGCAAGTCAGAGGGCCAGGCCAGGGGTTATATACCAATCTTTACTGACAGATTCTTTGCCTTCTTTTTTAAGAAGTGAAGCCGTAACAATGCACTGGAGTAGTACAAGGGACAAAAAAGCCAAGTGACGAACTATGAAATAATTACTAATTTTTAAAATCCTTGAAGGATAAATACCAATATCAACAGAGATCTCAAAAAAGAGAAGCAGTAATGACTTACTATTAATGCAATGCTGTTTGCCTTAGGATCTATTTCTGTTTCACCTTTCACAAGGCTCAGTCTAATAATGAAGATCTCCTGAACTTCAACTTCTTCATGAGGATAGATTTGTAGATTAATAGCTCTGAGACCTCCTTCTCCTTCTCCAAAATAAAATGATCCATTCACAGGGTCACCAATGTCACTATTCAGGGGAGATAAAGCCTCTTCTGAATTGGGTCCCAAGATGTCCCAATTAATCTGTGGAAAATATCAGTTTCAGATTTAGAGCGGTCATATATTATAAAAGCCTCTCAGTTGGAAAAATGACAGTGTAGCACAAGGGACATAAAAATTCCTGTAACGAGCTATGTTTAAATCTTTGCTGTTAATGCAGAATACAAAATATTAATAATTAATTCTATGTGTGAAAATACATAATCCTTTGGAAAAACAGAGACGACAAATTGCAAATGAAAACTTTATAGTGTTAGCTAGCCACAATGCCAGTTTATGAAACTCTACATATTAGTAATAGAAAAGAAACTGAGATTTCCTTAGCACATAACAGGAAACACACAGGCCAGTTTCTATTTCTCTCCCTTTCGTGATTTCTTTTGCAAAGCTCTCCAAATGAGTATTCGTGATCAAAACCACTCCCTGTGAGGTGTGATAACAAGACACAAGACGACAAATATTTTCTCAAGAGTCTGCAATAAATTTTTTTTTAATCGCTCAAATGATGATCCATACTTCTTCAGCCTGATTAAAAGATAGAATATTTTCAGAATTTCCCACAAATTAGTTGCTTTTGAGGTCATACTCAGCACTTTTCAATTATTATTTTGTCCATTTTAATTGTTTTCCTTTTTTTTTTTTTTCAAACGACTCCTAGAAAACGTCAAAGAAGGCCAAGGCAATTTTTATATGGGGAGAGGAGAAGATGGCCTTTACGGACAATCTTCCAGTTCCAGGACTGTGAAAGGCGTACCTTGTTTCATATCCATACCTTTACTTTGTCAGTGGTCTGTATAGAGTAAAGAAAAAACACCTAGAAAACTGTCAATAAACAATTTATTGAAAAAAACTTTGACCATCTTTAGGAAGTAATTTAAGGAAATTAAATTGTTAGTGGTGATGGATGAAATTAACCTTATATTTGATGGGATTAGGAGCTAGTTCAAAACAAAGTACAGAAGACCATAATAAAAGAAAGTAAGCAGGAGAAGAAAAAGATTAAAAAAGGAGCAACATTTGCTGTTATACTGCAACCATATGCAATTCATGCTTAATGAAAAGCAGCAACTATCCTGTCAGAAATCAATCACAAAGAAGCTCATGAAGGAGGTTTTTGACCTAGTGACTGGAAAGCATTCAGTCTTTGACAATCAGGGCCCACCTGTGTCTCCCCTAACAATCTTCCAGTCCTTTCCAGCACCAGCGACACTTCCATGAGTGTATCAGGATTGGGAAGAATAATTCGGCTTTGGTTGAGAAACCGGACGATGCCCTGGGGGGAGTCACTTTTGGCAATAGTGACCTGGCTCACTAGGTGGAGCCCAAGGACTGCTCCACCAGTGGCTCCTGTCAGCTGGATTTCAAATTGCTCTTGAAATTCACTGCATGGAAAAAGAAAAAGAGATTCTGAGATGTCCAAGAAACAAAATAAAACTGCACTCAGTGATGCAATCATGCATCCAACTGGATCTGTTTAGAGTCATACAGAAGCCCTCTCCGTAAGCCTACAGCAGAAGATTCCTCCCATTTGTGTAGAATGATGCAATGATGGTGATATCTGAAATAAAAATAATATCCTTTTTTCTATTCAAGTAAAAAAGAGATAAAATATTTTATTATTCTATTAACACCACAATTTCCGCTAATGGACTTAAAAAAATGGATCTGCATAAAATTTAACAGGAACTATGGAACTCTTAACAATAATTTCTTTTTTTCCCCCCCCTTTAATTTTAGGTGATTTTTCAGCACTGAGGAAATTTCCTTTTCAATTCCAACTCTACACATAGCCGTATGGCACGTGCTAAAAAAGAATTCCTGAGAAGTAAATAAGAAATAAATATCTGAAAAATTAATTACCTTTCTTCATCATCTATAATCGAAATATAAATAAAAGTCTGGTTCTGTCCATGATGAAAAATGACAGAATTATTATGGACGACATAGTCCACACCATCGGGAAGTGCAGAAATACTTCGAGAAAGAAAATCAGCTGTAACATAGCCATAAGTTCCACGTCTTCTCACAACAGGAATCATGATTAATCCAGCATCCTCTTCCACTGCAAGAATAATTGAGAAAAAGTTATTTTATTTCTAAATTTATGCCATAACCACAGACTTATCTTCTAAACCACAGTGAAAACTTAATGTAAACTTACCCTGTAGAAGGATATACTGTGGATCAAATTCTATAATGCCTTCTGCATTATCATTTTTTGCTATAGTAACTCGTACCGTGGAGATATTTCCTATTATTGGAGGCTGATCCATCTGTAGACCATTTTCTTTTACAGTAAAATCAAATCCACTTGCAAGAACATAAAAAAGAAAATTACATAAAAATTATTGTGAATGTATTAAGATGCAGGTATGACAATTTGCAATTACCACAAATACTTTCATTTTCTCACAGTTATCACTGACGAATTTCTGGTCACACTTTTTCAAAGTATTACATATGCAAAAAATAGCAGTATATTCACAGAAATGTGTATCTTTCATTTTTTCTTTCTCATTTTATCTTCCTATTTGAAATTCATGCAACATGACAACTTTTACGGAATCTGTGGACTTTTAACTTTAATCAAACCTAATCGGCAAAATCTTTACACTAATGCCAAAAGAACTGCATTCCCCATACATCCAATTTCTGTTATAATCAGTAATAGCTGAGCCGTCTTATGAAATTTTACAGTAAAAAGAGCTGAAATCCAGTGGTGACTTTAAGCAGGTAGATCAGATTCCAAATATAGTTTGTTTTTCTGCTTGTAATCAATCAAATAGGAATTTTATCTTTACCTTCCTTGGAGTTCCACTTCTGCAATCATCACTGAAAAGTCTTCAGGACCTTCAGGAAAGTCATCATCATGAATTTCAACCAAAATCATTTTACTCTCCTCGTGTTCTTCAAACAACAGTTCCCTTACTGTGGGAGTGAAATCAATTCCCTCCACTGCAGTCCCATTTATTATCTGAAAGCAAAGACGCACTTTGCCATAGGATCCCCTGGAACGCACAACAGTGATGTTAACCTGAGGGAAAGAGGATATCTTCTTTAAAAAATGGCTTTGTTTTTCTGTTACAGTTGCCTCTAGGAGCATGTTCTAAAAGCATCTTTTCAATGGTTCTGTCAGGTAACAACAATTTGCTTTAGCAAGTACAGAGTACACATAACTTAGCAGAGAATTAGAGTATTAAAAAACTTCAGAAGCCTCAGACAGCCGTTCTGGAGACTGTGCTATGATAAATGTAGAATAGATCTTTGATTTTTTTTTTTTTTTCGTAAAGTTAAGCATAGATCTAGCAACAATATTGATATCACCAATATTTTACATAAGAAGGAATTTTAATCTAATACCCATTTTTCTTCTTCTGTTGTTTGCAATAGTTCCCGTGAAAATGTAAACTCCCCGTATGGAAAATCACTGGCAGCCATGGTAATATTTGCTGTGCTGCTAGATTCATTTATGAGTCCTCCATGACTGATTCCAGTTAGTTGAAACTGGTAGTAACGCTTCTCCTCTGGATGGTTGTCATCTACAGCCTAGGGAGAAGAGCCAGTGAAAGCTAAAAGGGTTTAAACCATTTCCAGGGAGAGAGGTATAACTGATTTCTAACCAAGACACTAGCTAAATAAAAGGAAGAACATGAAATAACTACTGGTGTGAAACATCTGATATACCTGTATTAGAACAACTGCTGCAGACTGTCTATCTCGCATTGTCAAGGTCCCCGATGTCTCAATAAATTCTGTATGATGAGGAGGTGTTATATTCCAATATATTGTGATCTCACCAAAAATCCCTGGGCCACGTGTCAGGCTGAAGGTAAGAACACAAACACAGATTTCATTTTCTACCTTTAATATCTGATATCCAATCCAGAGACAGGGAGTATATCATATTGTTGTGCATGAAATAAATATCAGCACTGTGAAGCTTGAGTTTTAATGTTTTAAGTCATTATTGGGAACTTTCCAATTCCCTCTTAGAGTAATAACATTTCTGAAGTTCTATTTTATTTCCCTGTGTTGTGGAGGCATCTTGATCTGTACTTCTACCGAGAAGTCAAGGCAGCATGAGAAGCTGTTCTGTTGCTTATATTTGCTGGTTCGCCAAGGGAAATTGTCATTATCCTTTTTTCCAATACTCTTAGAAGGTAACATCTTAATATTTTCATCCTGTTTTCAGTTGACTGAATACAGTGAAATAATTGCATCTTGTTTCAACTAAAAACCCAGCTGACTAGTTATGCCAGCCATCATAGCAATACACTGAAAACAGTTCAGGCACCAATCCTCAACGGAATCCTAAGAAGCACAAAGCATTTTGAAATGTCATTGATTCCCTTCCCCCTTCCTTTCATTAGAAACCTCTTTCCTTTAATGCATCAGTGTTGCAAATAATTTGAAGACTGAGTGGAATATTTGGAGCTCTCCAGTAATACTGAAAAGACTCATACACACATATATCCTGCCCTTCTTTAAAAACAAGCATCGAAATTTAAAAATAGTTCTGATTTCAGAAGTGATCATGAAATGCAGCACTCAAGAAATTTGTGCCAAATGTGGAGTCTCACAGCTTTTGAAACTGAGCTGTTGACCGTCCTTTGGAAAAGTGAGTGACGTACCCACCTAATCAGAGCAGTTCCATTATAATTTCCTGAAGGTTCTCCAATCAGAACATTCCTGGATGAATGGGCTATCCCAATCACCCCAGAAGCTCCTTCATCACCCGCAATAATGATGGTTGCCACACCTATGAAAAGAACAAAGCTCTCATAGTAACTGAAAAATAACTAACGAGCTAATTTTTGTAAATTTTGTGAGACAAGTGGTCAAGCACTGGCTTCCCAGAGAGCCCACGGAATCCCCATCTTTGGAGAAATTGAGAATTTGAGTGGACAGGGGACTCAGCAACCCGATCTAATCGTGAAGTCTCCTGTTCCCTGAGCAGGGGTTTTTCAACTACATGACACCCCTGGATGGTCCCTTACAAAGGAAATTATTCTGCAGTTCTTAAAATTCTGAACCAGGTTTGGGGTTTTGTTTCTTTCTGTTAAAGAATTCTTTATGACCAATGTTAACTGAACACAAAAGTCTACACCAATTAATTCTGAACGAAAAATTATGATCTAAAATTCTCCGATTTCTTCAGAAAACAAAACAACTCAGGGAAAAAAGACTGACAGTCCAAACTGCTACCAACTAGCTGCACACATACACAATCTATAACCACTGCAGACTAAAAAAAATATGACTTACTAGAATTTTCATCAGAAATATCTCAAAGCAGAATGTAATGAACTGTTTTCTTTACCATTTACAGGGGATATCTCTGCATCACCAGTAGAGACTAGCTGAATGGTAAATGTTTCATTCCCCTCCAGTAGATCATCTTGTACCGCATGTAAAACAATCAACTTCTGGGATTCAGTCTGTGTCATATAATGACCAGAAGAGATATATATACACACACATTAAACAAAACTAAACAAAGTGTGGTATTATTAAAAAAAAAAAAAAAGTTTTCTCTTTAACAAATAAAGAGTTAAGCATGCATATGATTGATATATTCTGTAATATTTTTTAAATACGACATTTCTGATTTGGCTGAAATGTAGTAAAAACTGCCTCTCAAACATTGTGTGCCACCTCAAAAATACCCTGGCTATTTTCAAGTGAATAACAGTTGGAATTGCTTTTAAATTGAATTCACATAGAAGTTTTCAACTTAGAGGAAACTTTCTATAAAAAAACCTTTTCCATCTGAAAGTGCATATTCAATAGAATACACACATTTTAAGGATTAACGTCATTAAGATTAGATTTATTAGGTTATAGAAAATTCCTGTCTGATCCACATTTTTGTCAGTGGTCAGTAACAAATGCTTAAAATGAGAATATAGGAAAAAAGTAGGTACAGACTGTATGACCATTAGTACACCGTATATACATACTTGTATTCTTACATGTATGCATATATAAGAACTTTGGGAAGAAAAAAACAAAAAAATGTCCAGGCCTATCAGTAGAGAAAGGACAGCAAAATGGTTGCAAAACTTTGCCAAATACTGTCGGTCTTACCAAAAAAAGCATTGTTCCAGCTGATTCAAAGAAACACTGATACACCTATTTCTGTAATGCAAAATAGCCTTGTACAGACAGAATAGATTATGCTTTATGCTAAAACACTTTTTTTTTTCATTAAATGTTTTGAGTAGACTGTAAAAGGCCAATATGAAGATAACAATAGTTTGACAATAGCCAATATTTCAGCTCCTCCTTCAGAGTTTTAACCTGCCAGGACACACAAATCAAATAACACTGCCCAGTTTGAAACTCACTAGGGTGTTTTATTATTTATTTTTTTAAATCTGCAGATTTTGAGCACTCATCCTTCTCAGCCTTTCAATATCGATTTTCTCTTTCAGTTGTCTGATACTGCAATGGAATAAATGCTTCTGTAATCATTTTTGACATTCAGTACATTTTTGCTCTTCTTTAATTGTAAAAAAAAATACAGATTTGAAGAGCCTATCTTCCTCACGATTACATTATGCTGCCTTAGAGCATGACAGCTTTCCTTTCCTGTCTGAAAAAACACAGCAAAGTGCTAACCCTGCCGGTTCAAACTGGCCTTTTCCTAGTGTTATAATACTTAGCAACCCCCTACTTCTACAAACATGGAACAACCATGCAAACGCACACATAAGAAGAAAAAAAAAGTATCTATAAATCTATTAGTAAATAACTTATCGCCATTTCAGAAATACCTCATTGAAGTGAAGGGTGCCATTCAGAGGGGTCAGATCATATCTGGCTGCTTCCTCAAGAATCCATAAGACTGTCACTGCTCCTCGTCCTCCTTGACTTCGGGTTACAGTGAGCAACACAACTGCAGCAGAGTCATCAGGTGCCTGAGGTTCCTTCACCGTTACCTGACAAAGAAAGAGAATGAGGAAGTAGATATGGCTGTAGCAAAAGGCACAACACTGACTTGAGATAAACATGAGCAAACATTATTGGTGACAATGTAAAATAAGGATGAGCAAAAATCAACAGGGAGATAACAGACGTAAGGATCGTGTTGAATTAGTCACTCATGTTATTTCTGTATGCCCTATGATTCAAAAAAATTACGAGTCACAAGCAAGCACAGCACCAGCAAAATGGAGAGCAGAACAATCAATCATTGACAAGAACTAAAATGAGATGAGTTTCATAATTTCTTTCCAAACTTTACTTTCAGTAATACAGATCATTACAAAACAATTTTAATATTCAAAAGACTACCAAAAATCCTACCTGAGATGTCACGTATTGTTACTATACTGAATCTTTAACCAAGTAATAAGCGATAGGACAAGAGATACTGGCCTCAAGCTGTGCCAGGGAAGGTTTAGACTACATATTAGGAAGTATTTCTTTGCAGAAGGGGCTGTTGGGCGTTGGAATGGGCTGCCCAGGGCAGGGGGGAGTCCCCGGGATCCCTGGAGGGGTTGAAGAGTCGGGCTGAGCCAGCGCTGAGGGATCTGGGGGAGTTGGGAACGGTCAGGGGGAGGGTCATGGTTGGACTGGAGGGGCTTCAAGGTTCCTTTCCAACCCAGATGATTCTGTGTGATTCTGTTAATTAAACTGATTCAGTCATGCTTTAATCTACATCTCTGCAGCAGCACTTTCACTGTTGTTACCACCCTACAGAGTGAGATGAAGACAAGCACTAATATGCCTTTCAGTAAGTCATGTCTTCCAGCGCAGCGAAGGGTTACCTAAATCAGCTGTGTGTCAGCGACACAAGCCCACAATACAGCTTTAGCAGAAAAGAGTGCAATCCAAATCAAACTCACATTCTTTTCTTCAAACCCAAATACTCCAACAGGGGAATCATTTGGTGGAATAGCGACAGTTACCAGGGTGTCCTCCCCAAGTCTTCCACCACCTGCTACCCTCACCAGGGAAATCTTGAATATCTCAAGGAGTTCAACTTCACTGTCATCTATGATTGTAATTTCTATTTCTCCTGTAGCCTGCAGAAGTTGTTAAAAAAAAGAAAGAACAACAAGTTTTCATTTATAATATTCTGTGGATTGTTTGAAAAAATCTGAAATTGAAAAAGGTAAATTTTATCTAATAATAGATAAACACACATTGTTCAGTTGTGCTTATTCCTTATCGTATTTGTATATTTACAATAAGATAACAAAACTTCAAGGATGCTTTTTAAGACCATTAACATAAACCGTGTCTTTTAAAACCAGCATACTGCTCTGCTTTGGTACTCCGTAGAAAGTGCAGGAAGACTGTATTGTACTTAAGCCAAAATTCTGCTCACAAAGTGTATTATTCTATTTGCCAAAGACCAGTTCTGTTCAGTGGAAATCAAAACCCCTTGTGTACACTAAGTATTGGCAGAATGACATTTAGAACCATATGTAGAACACAGCTAAGAAAACATACAGGTTTATTCCGAGAATGAACAGAGAAAACAGATTATGTTGTAAATTTTCAGCGTAAGAGGCTTTATCTTAGAAACTATGTCTTCACTTTTGGAGGTACCAAAGGCATACAACCCTATTTTGGTCAATGCTTATGAACATTCTGCTTTTCCACATCAAAGAACTGAAGTCAGGAGCATCATTCACACACATAACGCCATAAATAAAATGTTTTCAATGAAAAGTTGTTAAACTCTTAAACTAGTAGCCTGGAGACAGCTACACTTTCGGAAAGTGCATACCTGCCCATCTGCAAACGTAAGGTTTCCAAATGATGGTGTGAAGTCTTCAAAGCCAGCAGTTGAAGGAATGGCTTCCCAGTACAGAGTTGCTGACCCAAACCTCCCAGCCTGCCGAACAACTGGTAGTTTCAGTACATTCTGTGGTGGTGGTACCTCATAAGCAATAACAGCTCCAGTTATACCCTGTAAATTCAACAAGAAACTGCTGGGTGTCACAGAACTTTTTTTTTTTTTTTTTTTTTTCATTTTGACTTGAAAGTAAAAATAAAGAAATACATAATCAGTTGTAAATTGGTCTGAATTTAGTATTGACCTTGCTCTTGAGCAAAAGTCTGGATGAGATGATTAGATGACCTCCTTTCAGAATATTCTATCACACCAGTTTTAGCAATTCCAGCTCCCTAATAGGTTTCATGTATTAATTATGAAGAACCTTTTAAGAAGGAATTGTTTGTCTGGTATCTGGCCTTTTTAACCAGAACAATTTAGTGTCATAAAGCCTCTTGGAACACTATCAAAACTGGTCTGAAAACACAGACCTTCCTGCTGGAATGCTACTTTAAATATTTTTCATTCAGACCTACTTACCTTTGTAACGTTGAAACTAAATACGCCTCTGGCATCATCATTTTCTTCAATTGTTATTTCAGCTATTTCTAACCCAAGCCTCTTCACGCTTGGGTGACCTCCAGTGGGAGAATCAACCAGTTGCACGTCAGTAATATTGATTATAAATCCTTCCTGTAATTCTGGAACATTGTCCTGCAAAAATATTTTTAAATGTAACTTTTTAAATAAAACACAGAAATTTATAATACAGGCAGGAAGATGACCACTTGTAGGTTGCTTACTGTTCAAAAATTCTCAGCACTTGGGACCATATAACCAGTCTCCTGCTTCACACCATAAGAAAGGTGAAAAAGACTATCTTTGCTGAGCTTAGAAACTGAAGTTGGCAGTCAGATTCCAGATCTATAAGAATGGTGGAAAGTATTGCTGGCTGTCACTTGTTTCTCCTGTCTATAAGAAGTGTGGCTAGAATTCAGAAACAAGCCAGAACTTGAAAAGCAATACCTCTGTTATGAAGTTATTTAAAGAATATACATATTTTTTGAAAAAAAAAATATTTACTGAACTGCAGAACAAATCTGTTGAGGCATGTAAAGTAACATAAATCCTCTGTAAAAACCTGTAACAAGTTGAAAAACCAGCAAGTACCTAAGACATTTATAATCTTTTCCTTTTCATTACAATGTGTTAATTTTGGGACTACAACAAAACAGATCTGATTCATTCTCAGTGTTGAGTACTCGAATTCTTTTGAAAGAGACAGCTGCAATTTTTACTAATACACAACTGTCTGATGAGGCAAGAATCCCACTTTAGACAGTTCTAAATCCTACTTCTGGTATAGAAACGGTATCATTTTCCCTTTCCTTAAAAAACATTATTAGCTAAAGTTGTTCGAATACTCACAGGTAAAATAGTGACTACGACAGAAGTTATTGTTGCGTCCTCTGCCATAATGATTGTCTTCTTTTCCAGTACATAATCCTCATTCTCAGTTGCTTGGTTGGCGAGGGGGAGTTCAAGGTTAGGTGCAGCGCTCAGCTGAACCACAATCTCTCCAACAAACCCTTGTTCTCGGACAATTTGTAAAGTAAGAGTAGTTGAATTGATTTGCCCTGGTAACAAGGAGGGAGGGGGGGAAAAATCAAGACGTGACTGTTTTTACCCTTACCCTGCTTGATTTTCAGCTTGATTTTTCCAACAATATTTGGGTAAGTCAATGACCCGGGCAAATGAGCACATACAAGTGGTGTGAAGACACACAACACACAGTGTGTGCATCTGGAAAGCATTTTAAAACCGGATCTAGAGGAAGAATAAAATATGGAATATTTACAATTTTAAATGCTTGCTACACAAACTGTTACCTCAACATTGCCATTTTTATTCAGTTTTTATTGAAAACTCACATCTGACTGTTTTGCCTGGCCTCTACATCCCTGGGAGATCACTACAGAAAGCAGCATTGGAGGCAGTCGCTCTGGCTGTATATTTTACATTTCCTTCACTCAAATGTTGAAGAAAATGAGATACACTTGTATCAGTGAGACTCAGGTCCCTTTTAGGAAAGCAGATTTTTAATTTTTTTTCCATTAACCAGCAAACACAACATTTGGCTGAAAGTGCAGAGTTTATGACTGCAGAAAGAAGCAGACAAAAAGCAACAGGCTTTGTCCTTCAGACTAGTTTCCATCACCTGTGTTAACCAGGTATGACTTCACAGTTAGCACATGCATATGTTTCGTTAAAAATATAACATTTAAGGATTGGAAAAGAAACTCTGCAACAAATGAAACCTAAAAACGTGCCTTGAATCCTAACTTCAAAGGATAAATTTTTATAATGTGCATCTACGTGTATGTAAGGAACCAGCAGAATCCCTTCACAGTACTTGCAGGTCCTAAAAAAGGGGCAACACTAATTCACTTCAAAACAGAACTGGGGAGGAGGTTTTATCTGCAATAATATTCTGATGGAAAACGTATTTTTTCAGAAATTTTATTCGTTAACATGGACAGAGTATTAAATTGCCAGGAAATGTCAACTGGGCTTTTTGAAGTATGAATAGCC